AAGATCAGAGGCCCTATACGGAGGCGCTCCGGCACTAATACGATCTTTTGGGTCCACCTATGACGCGCAGAAGCGGATAGTTTTTGTAACACCGGGTCGAAAAAGTAACGAGGTTTGGAGTGGTGTTGGAACGATTAGGTTGTGTACGTCACAGTGGTAGCGCCGCGCTAGATTGGTTCCAGTCTCTTCGTCCATGTAAAGTGAAGTGAGTGAGAGTCAAGACACCATCTATAAACAATGAATCGCAAGAATGGCAGGCCTTCACTTATGTCATCGCGTTTATCATATTTAGTCTCATTACATAATGCATAGGATCCTAATATCCGACTATTTGTTTTTCAACTACAGCTTCAGATGAACAGCTTAACAGATGAATGGACAACAGGTATGAGATTATGTTCACACAACGTTATTAATTCTGTTCCACGTAATCGTTATCGAAAGCATGGACGTCAACACTTGCCTCTTTGGTGAGTCGTAGATACAATATGTAACCCAACGCAAGAGGTATGACGGGTTACAAAGTGTCCTATCGCTTTTGTCGGGGAGGAATGCCGAGGTGGATCACTCGGCCGTTTGGCTGGTGCGGGTTGTTCAGATACTAGACTTCAAACTGGGTTTATTCTAACAAAACTTCTCCGGCTATTCGCGGGAATTACATGTATCGAATACTCTGTATTAAGACTAATAATAACCTGTTACGAAAATTCGAAGTGAGCGAGCCGGCGAAATATACTGAGGCCATTTGTTGACCTGTGCGTACGGCATTCTCATGCGGCATAGCGATCGCAAACGCAGCGCCTCGATTGGTGCGGGTGAAATCCACTCTCACAATCGCGAAGTAACGTCAGCAGCGTCAACAGGAATGGCGGCTCAGTTATTCGCCGGCTCAGTCACTTTCGAATTTTTTGTAACAGGCTATATTAGTTTGAATACAGAGTATGCGATACATAGTAAGTTCCCAGTATAGCGGAGAAATGGTTCGTGTTGAGAAATAAAACCGCAGTTTGGAAAGCTTGCTAGTATTCTTGAAAACGCAACCAGCAAACGCGGCCCGAGTGATTCAGCCTGCGGGCATTCTCGCGCTAGAAAAGGATAGGGACGCTTTGATAACGTCCTATCCGGTTTGGGTTACATTATTGTATCTAGTGACGTCCCTATATCGCTATGAACGCGTATGCCCGGCGGTCGATACAAACACGACTCGTTCACATACTAAATATAATTTGCTAACGCTATCAAGCTCACAGATGAATGACAACAGGTATGAGATTATGTACACAACGTTAATTTTATTCTCCCCGTAATCGTTAGCGAAATACTTAACCGAATACACTTTATGACGTACGCCGCCTATAGCGCTATACGGGGCTCAAAATGTGAGCCCCGCGAATGACCGGCGGTCGATTAACATGCTTCGTTTACGTACTAAATATAATTTACTAAACCTGTCACGCACACAGATGAACGACAACACGTGTAGGTTAATGTACATATATTAATTAAGCCGAATAATAATTATTATTAATCGTTATTAAGCCGAATACACTTTATGTGTGCAGATCGCCTATAGGCGCAGTATATACTGGCGTAGATAATAGATAAATAGGCTTAGTCGTCAATACGGTACGCTCCGATACATTCCCATAGTTTCTTAAATCGGGCGGTAGATGGCGGTAGTGTAAAACTGCGCCGCCATACTGGACGTCATAAACTGTATTTGCACCAAAAAGAATACGCGAACCTTAAACTAGTGAAGTGGGACTCCCATTGCCATTGGCATTGGGCCATTGGCACTGTGACTGTGTCAGTGTCACGAGTGTGGCACTGGGAGAGCAAGGTAACCCACTTGCCCCCTTACTTAGTATGCATGGCATAGACTAGCTATAGAAATATAGTCATTCGCTCCACCACAGGGCTATAGCACAAACTATGTTGAATATGAGCAACGAAACTGCTCCCACGAGGAACGGCACACAGGACGCAAAATCATGTTCGGGCTTTTTAACACTAATTTATCTACATCATTGGACCTATTACTATTAGTCTTACCTAGGCTATATTTATGAACACTTTTCACAACTTTACAACATTCATTTATTCCTCAAATTCTTACCACTGCTTGCAAACTCAAATGCTCACGTATGCGTATGAAAACGATTAAAGTTCACAGACTGGCGTACAGGCTCCGTTTTGGTGTATGGCCTGCCAGAGGAGAACAATGCTCCCATTTGATATGCCACAACAAAAATTGCATCGGTCGTCGGCACATCCTTTTGGAAACTGCACGGCAAAATTCAGAACGGCAGGAATGCAAGATACACGAGCTGTATCGGGCATGCCGACAGGTCTACGAGTTTGCTTTCTCTAACAATTGTTTGATCTAAGAATTACTTGCAGTGGGCTACTAGCATATGCCTCGCACTCAGGTGGGGAAACCCTCGGCTGGGCTGACTGACCTGGGATGGAAACCCCACCTCTCCCGCAGCACAAGCTAGTATCCTCTGCAATTCACTAATACCTCTACTAACTACCGTTTTTTCCTTTTAATAATTACGTTGTGTAGCTGTGGTCAGTAAAGGGAGTGTCCAGTTGATCCTTAATGTATTCGGAGGAATATTGAGATTGCTTATACTTGATGTGATGTCGGCGAGCATGCGTTTGCGCTTGGCGGCTTCTCTCTCCTTTCTTCGGCGCCGCGTCAAATATGTTGCGGCAATCGACATCTGTCGCAGCGCCAACGATGGCCGCTTCCCGAGTGGGACTTTAACGATGTTATCATTTTTCAGGTGGGCGGACATCTCTACGCCGTTGTTCAGCCGATGGACTGCAGAATGCGCGCGGCCGATCGCGGTCCTCGAAAAGGTGACGTTTTTCGGCAGCGATGCGCTCAGGCCACGATTGCTCGCCTCGCACCGCTGCGTACTGGTGTTGATCAGGCGACGATTCCTCGCACCGCTGCGTACTGGTGTTGATCAGGCGACGATTCCTCGCACGCTGCGTACTGGAGGCGAGCAATCATCGCCTGATCAACACCAGTACGCAGCGGTGCGAGCAATCATCGCCTGATCAACACCAGTACGCAGCGGTGCGGGGCGAGCAATCATCGCCTGATCAACACCAGTACGCAGCGGTGCGAGCAATCATCGCCTGATCAACACCAGTACGCAGCGGTGCAAGCAATCATCGCCTGATCAACACCAGTACACAGCGGTGTGGGGCGAGCAATCATCACCTGATCAACACCGCTGCGTACTGGTGTTGATCAGGCGATGATTGCTCGCACCGCTGCGTACTGGTGTTGATCAGGCAATGATTGCTCGCTCCGCTGCGTACTGGTGTTGATCAGGCGATGTCCTGTCGGTCGGTCGGTCGGTCGGTCGGTCAGTCATGATGAATTCCCTCATCTTGAGACTACTCAGGTAGTATGAGTATGTGGAAAGCCAGTTCCTGTATGTACCACCCCAGCAGACCAGAGACTGATGCCTACAACAACTTCGCTGATCGCCTGAATAGCAGTCGACTGTACATTCGATCATAAAGGCTTCATGATTTTCTCCTAGTCCAGCTTCCACTTTGATAAGAAGCTGTGACAGTTGAGTTGCATTCGTTGGGATTTTCCACACTGCTCCAGTTCACATGTCTGCGGTGTGCTCGTGTGTTCACAGAGCCAAACTGCTCTTACATGTGGGTCTCAAGGTTCGAGATGTACTTTCTGCTTACATCTGTACATCTCCATAGTTATTATGCGTTATAATGTGTGATTATGGGGTCCTCAGAGCGAAAGCTTCACTTTAAATGTTACGTTTAAATAATGTTTTCATTCGTCCTTTTCTTCTTCGGTTTCTCTCCCATGTGAGTTCTCATGTGTTTCTTCAGATTACTCGATTGTGTGATCGTAGCATCACACAGCTCGCACTTATAGGGTTTCTCTCCCGTGTGAGTTCTCATGTGTTTCTTCATAGCACCTGATTGTGTGAACGTAGCTTCACACAGCTCGCACTTATAGGGTTTCTCTCCCGTGTGAGTTCTCATGTGTTTCTTCATAGCACCTGATTGTGTGATCGTAGCATCACACAGCTCACACTTATAGGGTTTCTCTCCCGTGTGAGTTCTTACGTGTCTCTTCACATAACTCGAACGTGAGAAGGCAGCATCACACAGATCACACTTATATGGTTTCTCTCAGGTGTGAGTTCTCATGTGTCTCTTCACACAACTCGGACGTGAGAAGGCAGCATCGCACAGATCGCACTTATAGGGTTTCTTTCCCGTGTGCGTTCTCATGTGTGTTTTCATAGCACCTGATTGTGTGAACGTAGCTTCACACAGCTCGCACTTATAGGGTTTCTCTCCCGTGTG